ATGCCGAGCAACTGCCATGCTCCGTATTCCATACGTCTTTCGCTTGTGTCCTGCGAGTCTCCTGCGGAAATAAGTATTAGAGTGCCCAAAACAACGACGCGTGGTCGTCAGGACATATCGTAAGTACATTATTACGGAATAATCTCCTCCCTTCTCGACACATACAGCTAAGGTGGACCAGACGTCCCGATTTTTCACTCTTTGTCCCGAATTTTTCCGAGTGCTATTCGGGATACCGATTTGTCATCATTTTCAATGATTGTCAAATAATTTTCGGATCTTTTTATCCCCCTCCCCCCGCTTCACACATTTATAAAGTGTCCCGAATTCAGGGCTGGGAAATCTGGTCACCCTACTTAAATAGAAATATAAACGTTTCTTGGTTAATTTTTTAATAAGTCGTACGTCTTTTAAATGACGCAAGCCATTAAATAAGTCGTTCATCTTTTATTCATAGACTACTCATTATGTCTGCGTAGTCACATACAGTTTTGTTTATAGATATACAGTATCATAATTTACACTTAAATGCCAAAACATGGTCCCGTGAATTTTTACTTTTGCAGAGTGCATAAAATATCTTCGTTAAAATAATAATAAGATGCAGATCAGGGAATAAATATTTGGGATAAACGGTGCGTATGCCGGCGCGTATGCAGTCGCGCTGGAGTAAATAAAAATTGCACGCGACGAGTTCTTCCATTGCGTCTGTGAGGGAAGATGTGAGGTTCGGCTCGGTCGAATAAAGTTTTTGTCGCGAGTCGAGATGTGGCAGATGTCGCGAAATAGCGAGATCGTTTCTTCCGTGACGTGCGCCGAGGTGAACGAACATTGATCATTGCGAGGAGTTTCGCTGTTGCTGGTGCCGCGGCATTTTTCCGCGGTCGCCCTCGCGATACGCGGTTGTGGATTTCATTTCCACATCGTGAATTTTATTTCTGCGCGTGCACTGAATCTTATATCTATTATAAATTTTATTTTCACGGTTCGCGCGCGCGCACGGGAAAATATTCTCTTAGAATCGCGGAAGTCACGAGCGCGACTTCGAAGTATAATATATGCTGGTTAAAAATACGCTTCGCCCTCTTTCTCTTCCTCTCTTTCTCTCTCTTTCTCGTGCGCGATAAAAAAGGATTCGATACGCGAGCTCGCACGGTAGATGTTCCTGCGATAAACACAAAAGTGCCGGCCCTTCTGTGATTACACGTTACGGATTACATATTCGTGCTATAAAATATTTATCACGATTTATTCTATCAGCTGTAATTAAACTTTCAGTCGCATTAGCGTATGGGCGCATACATATTGCATGCGCCAATATATGATAACATCTCTTTCAGTACGTATTAAGCATTATGCCGCACACGCGCTTAGCGCACCGTTCATAATTAAAACTCCAGCGTCACGCCATTAATAAAATGTCGGATTCATCCCAAGAGTATTACCGCGAGGTGGGTTTGTTGTCATCGATTAGTGTCGGCGGAGCGACAAATAATCGGGCCGTGTTGCGCGATATGAAGCGCGCGTCGTTTGCTTTCCGCTAATTTCTCATTATCTTCAATTTTTAAAACGTCCTCTCGCTCCGTGATACACAGAGGAGCGCTCTGCTCGTTCCGGGAGTTATCGATCCCCGTTGCGCACTGTGACCCGCGGTAATCTTACGTATAATACAGATATGTGGACGGAAAAGAAGACCCATTACCTTTTCTCGAGTTCCCACGAAGATCTCCGCGAAGACGTCGCCGGATACCGCAGGCTGCTTTGTAGTTTTCCCTTATAATGTCCATCGGCGGGAGTTCTCCTTGGCGTGTAACCAGAAAAGTCCAGTGTTCCTAAACGGCAATGGGTCAGATGAAAATCAGACAGAATCATGGCGTATAAGAAGGGCTGAACAGTGAAAATATCTGGAATTACGTGTTTTCGAGTCGCGTTCTCTCTCTCTCTCTTTCTCCCTCTCCCTCGTTTCCTCTTTAAATCCCTTCATTCTGTCGCGTTTCTTTCAGGCAATTTCGCCCGCGACGATGCGATTTGCGAGCTACGCCGTAATCCTTTCGCAATGCATCGGGCGTGTTTGCCGTGATTCGGCCGACTATCGCCGGTGTTACAACAATTTCAACTTTGTCGAGCATGCGAGTACACATTTCAAGATAGCACGTAACAAAAACACCGAGAGACCGTGTAACAAAAGGTTCGTCAAGTCACTGCACAATCACACATAGGAAAATGTCATTCTGCTCTGTTAAGAAAATCGATTACTGAGTTTGCTTTCCTCCTTTTAAATACACGAGCAAAAATTGAATCTAGTGATTGTCTAGTAATGACATAGAAAAATTTGGTCTTACATCGCTACTAGCTAGGAATATAGTGGCTGTACCAGAAAAATTATCTAGTAGCTAGATACAAAAAAATTAACTTATAACTATAATTGGTATAGTTACTAGACAGTTTTGATATTCAATTTCTATTCAGGATTTAACGATGATTTTCTACCTCGTTACTGTAATCTTTTTCATCTAGCCACTATCTATGTAATTGGTATAGTTACTAGATAGCCCTGACATTCAAAAGACTGAGTAGGAATATTTAGCCAGTAACAAACTAGTGATTGGCGAGGAAATTTATCTAGTCATTACTATCTAACTACTAGTCTTAAAATCTGCTCTACATTTTTGCTCGGATAATAGTCAACTTTAACAAAAAATATTTTCTTGGCAATATACTGAGAAAAAAAATCTAAAAGTTAACAAATATTTATTAGGTTTATTATTTATTTGGTTTAAGTAAACAATGCTCGGTTTAGGTAAAGAGAATTTTAATATAAGTACTTATATGGTATCCACTTAATAAATATTTGTTAATTTTCAAATATTTCTTTCTTAGTGTATAGTTTTGAAACATACTGATCAAAAATTTGAGAAAAGCTTACATAATCATGTAGTCAAAAGAAGAACTTATTTTTCTTACAAAAATATCATAAAACTTTATATAAAACTTTATCAAAGAAGAGGTTGATTCGACTCTATGTAGTAAATGAACCGAATTTTTGTTCTAATTTAATATCCTTGATTGAAATGCTAAACTTACTATACGGAATAAAAAATTTAGTTGAATTGATCAAATATCTGAAATATGGTGAGATATGAACGAAATAAAATTCCGGAGAAAAATTTAAATTACCAGTATTTTATATTTGATTTTTTATATATATATATTTGGTTAACCAAATCAAATTTTTTTTTCAGTATACGGTTCAGAAAGTATTTTGAATAAATTTGACGCTCATAATGAATTTATGGTACATTTGCGGGTATATGAATTTATAAAATGTTTGAAATAAATAATAGTACTTTTGAATACAATATGTATTTCTCTATGTGCAAAAGATTCGAAAATTAACGGATATCAAAAGTGGAATGGATATAAATAAAGAGAAAAAGAAAGGAAAATGAATAAACGGAAATGATATGGCAAAACGAGCTTGACTATTAATGCACAGAAATCCGACGAAGAATCGGATAACTGTCGCCATAATTTCCCGTAATCTGCCAATACGTCGACGCACAGTGAGACTCCATCTTCCATTTTCGTGATCTTACACACCGTCGTGATACACTCGTCGGCCGGGATTCCTCATGAAGGAGATGCCTCGCTTCGTGTACGCTCCACGTAATCCTTCCCAAAGATTAAAGCGGTGCGGGAACAGGATCGTGGTACGTGAGGCGTGCGAAAGAGTACCGGGACTTTAATACAAAAGCTATCTTTATTCCTTTAATCTCATATCAGTCGTGAAAAATCCCTCGCTACATCCAAAGTACATACGACATGTGCAGAATCGAATACATTACGTTATACACGGTAATACAAATCATATTGCTCAATCGTTCGGAACATCGTGTGTACTTGAAACTGTCTGTGTGGGTGTATGTATGTATTTACTGGTATGTATGTATATGTACGCGTGTTTAAGTATACGTGAACGAGCGTGTATGCGCCTGTCCGTGTATGCAAGATTGTGTCTGCGAGCGCCTGAGAGCCGTAACTCTCCGCCGGAGTTTTACGGTCGAGAAAAGGAAGGTGGTAGGAGAAGAGGAGGTGGGAAAGGTGATGTTGGCAGGAAGGGTGGTTTCGAAGGAGATCGATTCGAGTGTGGCTTCGGCCCTCATTTTCTCGTGTATACTTAATGTTATCCTTCTCTTTACTTCCTCTCTCACTCTTTCTCTCGTTTTTCACTATCTTGCCGACACACACACATACATATACGCACGCATGTACGCGCAGACGTACTCATGCGCAGACACGCACACACACACAGCACACGTATCTTCGTAATCGACCTCATAAAGTGAGAGTTCATAAAGTCCAGTATATCGTGAAACGTTTTTCGGTAGTTTCAAGACACCCCATGTGTAAGTGAATATACTAAATCGGATTTTGTTTCTTCATAAAACTTTTTTTTCCATTTTTGCTCAAAACCTGTAGGATCCCAGACAACGTAATGTCTAAAATCGAGACAAAAGATGTCTTAAAGATCATCTTTAAGATGTCTTTCAGACAATTTACTTATAAATGTCTTTAAGGCGTCTTAAAGATGATCTTTAAGACGTATTATGTTCCGATTTTAGACGTTATGTTGTTTGGGGTTTTGATGTAACACGTTCGAGTGTCTAAAAGTAACGACTCAATATGGCGATTCCTGATCTCCGTTGAGAAGGAATATTTTGCCCCTAAACCGGGAAACCTGCCGTCTGCTTGTTCCGTCGCCGTCGTTACCTTTAATTTCCAACTGACGTACGTATCTGACGCTGGCGGAGTTACCGGGAGTTTCGTCGGACGGCTGATTAATGCATCGACGTGTGATTACATTTACCGGAAAGCATCGTAGCGGCGCGTTGTGAATACGAGGGAAGTTAATAGGGCGGGCCCCTTTGCTCGCGAGATTTTCCTCGGCGTGAATGTTTCACTACGCGAGTCTACGCGAGGAAAGCTGATTAATATTCACGACCGATCTCGGGACGCTAAGCCTTTATACGACGAAATTCTGCGCGTATGATTTCCTTGCGAAATTTAATTCGCCCGATTTATCAGAGCGGAACTTTGTTTCCGAAATATTCCAATTCACTCCGAAAATACTGAAAGTCACTAAAATGAAACAAACTTAAAACGACTGAAAATTGTACGAAATGGAAGAATTTATAGAAATTGTTATGCCTGTGTCTCTTTTTTCTCCTTCTTTCTCCTTCTTTTCTCCTTTCTGTGAATAGATTTTGTATAAAATACATATAACGTAAAATGGAACACGACAAAATATTTTTAAAATATATTTTAAAAATAGAAACATGATATGTGTGTTTATATTCATTCACGAATTTTAGGAATTCTTAATTTTCGAGGACGAATAAGAACTTTTCAATACATTATTATAAAAAACATAAATCGTTTTCGATAACTTTACAGACACGAAGATTATATTTAGTGCACAAGCTAAATAAAAAGTAAGATTTGGTTTTACATTAATCCTACAAGTTGCATCGATTTTGAAAAAAAATGGAAAGCTTATTTGTCCTAGTTGACTTCTGACGTTACAAATGACTACTTGCTGCATAGTGTCCTCCATGTTGGAAAAAATTTTATTTAAAAAGTTTTTAATATTCGATTTATCTCAATTAATCTTCATTTTCGATTTCAATAAGCAAATGTTAAGTAATCTAATAATGAGTAAGTATGATTAATAAACAAATATAAAACAACAAATATTCTCTTTTTATAATCTCTTTTCTTATTAGCATTGAAAATTCAAAATTCAAAAGGGTTGAGGAGAAAGTTGCGAGGACAAAAATGGCAGTTTCATATCCAATAATTTTAGACATTAAATAAATATATAAATTTGTATTCGGTGTAATAATAATAACAAACAGAAGTGAAAAGAAGGCGTAGATAGGATCCCCTTTATCTTTATTTTTTAGTCTCGTTATTATACTGAATCCACAAATGTAAAATTTCTCTTTGTATTTTTGAACACACAAGTATGTTATCTTTACCTTCACAACTTCTCCACCTCTTTTGAATCTTTAAATTCCACTGCTCTCTCTATGCCAATAAAACATATTAATATACAAATTATAAAAAGACAACGCGTTAATTCTATTACTCGTTAGTCCTGTCACTTATCCATATCAATTTAATAGTCATATTAATTTAATCTTTGTTTATCATACATACTCTATCTACAGTGGAGACAATATATTGTTTATTGGAATGAAAAATAAAGTCTATAAGCCAATATAAAACTAAAATTTGGTTTTATATGGATCAAGTAGAGATTAAATTAAATTGCTCACTGCTATGAAACTGAATTTTCGTTTTGTATTGAACAAATTAAATTGCTCACAGCACCCTCTGAATTGACCCTAATAGGCTTAATTTTTTTCATGATTGTATATCGGAGAGCCTGTTATTTATTCTTTGATTTTTTTTAAATGAAGAACTTTAAGAATTAAATGCAGACAAGATAATTAAATATTAAACAAAGATAATTAAATATTAAATGCAGACAAGATAATTAAATATTAAATATTCTTCCAAACATCTATTTGCATATAAACAGAACCTAAAGCTATTCTAAAAGCTTTTAGTAAATTCTTTATTAAGCTTCAATATTGAGGAGGGAATTTGAATATAATATCAGCGGAATATGAAGTTCGATTGGGAGGCGGCTAATGCTTTACGTACGTTTAAAATTGAGAAAGTATCTCAGCGCAAACAATACATCGTCGACATTATTATTTCGACGCAAAAAATTGTTATTCGCTATCAACATCCATTCGCGGCTTTTATTGGCTGCGAAATTCAATTCTTAGTGATTGAATATCTGAGAGACTTAACAGTTTCGTGCGGCAGTAAATAACCATCGAGCGTAGAAGCATCAAAGGATAACAGCGTGTACTGTGTTATACTTTGAGATAATCCATTGTGCTTCTTCAAATTCAACGCAGTTTGCAGGTTTAATGTAGAAAGCCAAAATTTTGGCTCGGGAAGAGATCGGCGGAAAAGGGGAGTGAGGAATGCGTTAAACTTGGACGAGGAGCAAACGAGCGAATGCAATTTCGCCTGGCAGCAAGGTCGTTAAACTTCACCATTGTTTTTCTTGTTTTCGCGTTTAACCGCTGGGATTCTCTCAATTCGGTAAAACAAAATACGTGCGAAAGGAAGTGGCAGATTGATGATAAATTTTTATCCATCAAGGGGAAAAAGGCATTTCGCGAAAGAACGAAACGAAAAAAACTCAAGCTGGTCTACTTTTTTTGCGAGAAAGAGAGAGTGTAAGAGAAATGGGGAGGTGTAACGGGAGAAAAGGGTAGAGAAAGAAAGAGAGAGAAAAGAGAGAAAGAGAAAGAAAGAGAGAGAGAGAGAGAGAGAGAGAGAGAGAGAGAGAAAGAAGAAGAAAGAGAGCGAGAAAAAGAAAGAGTAAAGGGGGACAGAGGGAAATTTTGTTTTGAGCGTGTCGGGTTTTTATTTTTCTTCCGTCAAATTTTAATCTAGGCGAATAAATATGCATGAAGCAATTAGAGAGGTCTATAAAAAATTCTCGCCTATGTGAAAAATAGTGTAAAAAAATCAACCTTCTAACGAAATATCTCGAAGCGTAAATCCAATTGATTCTAATTTCTCTAATGTGTCAAATAATTATCTTCAGAGAGCTACCCTCGTGGAAATGCATTAAATTTTGCCGCGGAATTTAACTCGATTTAACGATGTTATTTATTTAAACCACAGGCGGGACCCTTTAAGGAAGCTCTTTAGGAAGAGGATTCTTTAAGGAAATTGCGATTAAATGTAACGGTGAGCGTTCTCTAATTACTTAATTTCCGAAACGTTTCTCGACGCTTGAAATGACACGTTTAAATGTCTGGCTGACGTTTAATATCTTCCCTTGCTTCGCCCGAGTTGCGGATAAACGCGAAGAAATTTAGAAAGTATAGACCGCGATGTAAGAATTCCCCTTATTTCAAAACGTGCGACGGGAAGCCCGACGATTTTCCGGCGGACGCGAATTCGATTAAACGTGTCGTGACGGTTTAACGGAGTCGCCACATTTTTGGCGAAAACACGAGCCTAATGGCCTGCGCATTCACAGCAGATGAATTGAAATTCGCAAAATTGACCACGCGCGTTGAAGTTATTCTCGTTAGCAAGCTCGTTTAAAAAGTTCTAATTAAATGAAACGGCGAGCGCGCGCAACTCCTCCTTTTGCGGAATTTCGTCACTGCGCGAAATCGCATTCGCCCCTGAAATTCGATATATAGACAATTTCGAAAGTCAGCAAACGCAAAGATACCGCGCGACAAATTAAATTTAAGCGCGCCTCTGTTGTTATTCGCGAATATTCGATAAAATGTTCCGGTTACCCTCACTTTCGAAAAACATAAATGCGTTTGTATTTCACCATTTAAAAATAACGATTTTAATTTCGACATGTTATTTGAACTCCCACACTCTCGTTCTCTCTCAAATTTCATTTTATTAATTTGTCGGAAAATTGCTCGATAGCAAATTCAATTTAACAACGGTCGATTTTAACTGGCTCGCACAGTACAGTTCTAATTTCGATATCGTCGCGGTATATATCAAGGGGGGCTGAGGAGAGGTACTCCATCTTTTCTCTTCCGTCCGACGAAACATTCTCGTTTCACCTGAAATTTCTCGAAATGTAAGTAAATTAGTTGTCCCGGAGCGAGATGAAATATTGTTATATGCGAAACTCGAGGATGTATTTCGAGTTATCTCGACGGCGAGAGCTTAAAGGACACGGCGGGGCGCTATATCCTCTCGCGAGTCGGCAGACTGGAAGGCAAACACTGTTCATCCGTGAATCGCGTCGTGATTACAGCGACGGAAAGGAAACCAGTTTCCTCGTTGCCGAGTAACGCGACGAAAAGCTCTTCCAGGCCGGCCTTCTCGGGCAAGGCGCATTTTTCCGTCACATCCGCACCACCATCTTACACTCTTATGATAATTCGCCGCCATCAGCCCATCGGCTCGTTTCGCGCGGCCGCCATTTATACGAGGTGTCGCCGAAACAACGACGCTTTCTCGCACCGCGAGAGCAAAATTCAATCGACCGCCACTCCATTCTCTACGTCTACCGATCCATCAATCACTCGAGAGGGCGAAGCCAGCTCGAATCGCGGACTCGAAAAGACACCTTTAAAAAATAACTACTTTCGCAGGTTCTTGTGTGTCCCTTAGTTATTTTAGTCGCGCCATATATTATGTATATATCTATCTGCGTGTTGTGTCCTCGTGTGTGTTGTGTGTATATATATATATATTTATTTATATATTTATATATACGCATATGTATACAACTGTACGAGGTAATCCGGAAAAGGCGCACACAGTTTCCAGGAGATGCCGAATCAAGCCGCGAAGTATTCTTCAGCGAAGATAGAACTCGGGCATCGATCACGATGAAACGATAAAAGGAAGCCAATTTAGATCGCGAGGAGCTCTCCTAGGCCCCCGGGAGGAGCCTCGAAGAAACGCGCAGGATCTCTTAATTTCAAGTTTCACAAAATCTTAATCTCCTAAAATAATTTCCCCGAGATTAATTAATGCTTCCCCGAGGTAAGTTTGCGCAATATCCTTCGCCGACTCCATCCGTCGCCGTGTACGCTGTTTTCAGAACACCCCGTACGCGTCTTCAACGGTCTCTGTACATCAGGTCGAGCGCCACCGCGGGCCTCCTAATCTCGCACAGTTCGCCAGTCTTAAACACCGAGTTAACATTATTATCACTACAGCAGAATCGCCTACACCAGACTGCGTCTCCGTCTCCGAGACGCCCGGAATCGAGGGATTCCTCGATCGAGAAGTCAACGATATTCCCGTGAGCCTAAAATAAAGTGTGCAGTCGGTGGGTGAGCGCGAATGGCTTGAGCAGATTTCCAGGTCACGAGAGCGGCCCGTGACGCGTATACGCGGTGTCAAGGGGAATGTAACATCATTTTCAACGCCGTCGTCAACCCTAAACAGTAGCGAAGTAATCCGTCGAGAGCGACTCGAGCGTCACTCCCATTATGTTACACGCTCAAAGAATAATGGGATCAATTTTACACCTGCGCGACGTAATAATTCGCACGAAATTTTCCGAAATTATTCCCAAAATTGGACACGAAGATCGTGCTTATGAGAAAGAAGACCGTGAAATCATAATGCAAATCTCCGTAACATTTAGAATTCCGGAGGATAGTCTCCTTTAATTACACCTTCCCTTTTCCCGATTCGCTCGTCCTGCAATTACCGATTCATCGCAGCCGCGCGTCAAAACTCCCCGAGTCAACACGAACGATTAAATTAAATTTAATAAATTTCACATTTTCTCAACGGATCCTGCCGGAGGAGCCGTTTTGAGCACCAGTCACGTCCTTGTTCGCGACGCCTGAAAGCGCGCCTTCTCGGGATCCCTGAGACGCGTTTCACTCGATCGAGTCCGCCAAACATTTATCTATCACTTTAAGGATCAGTCACGCCATCTTGGTTCCTTTTCAGCGCGACCGAACGTTTCTCCTTGGAGCGGGTCCAAGGAACGTCGTCGTATTTCACGGGCGCGACACGCCGTTTAAATAAATCCGGTCGCCATTTTGATGTCCGAAAAAGCACTCGGCGCATTTAAACGCGATCCGCGCGCGTAAATTTTTCCGAGTCGATTTCCCCCGAATGCTGTGAGCCGCGGAACGCCCCGCGTCCTCCTTAGCGAGCACACCTGCGTCGTTCGTCCTCCTTCGTGATTCCGACTTCGCGGCCTGTACACCGCAGCGAGAGAGACATTCGAGACATGCCTTCTGATTAATCTATTACGTCTCCACCGTCAGAACGAGTCCTTTGTTCGCGCCCGTCTCGGGCGGTTCTGTTCCGCCAATCACATCCTGGACCCTGTTATCCTCCGCGAATTAATCTGGTAGCGTGACGGGGACAGATTCCCTCCTGTGGGTGGTAATTCGGGTCGTCCGTAGCTTCGTTAAGGTCGTCGCACTTGACGTCTGACGCGTGTAAAAGAGATCGTAAAAATCAAACGTTCCTACGTAAATGCGTGGGCGCATTTATTTATCCTTGTCGCGACGGTGTGTCACGTTAAAGGAATGGGTTTCCTTTTCACGAGAGTTGCGGTGTTTCGTTTCGCCGAGAACGCGTATCAAAGTTTGCACACGAGTACATTGAGTGTTTCATTTCCCGAGTGAATTTTCTTTTCTTCTGTTTTTTTTTTTTTTACATTTGAAATGAGGTTAAATTGCTTCGAAGATATTTGTGCGACACGTATGGATTATTTTGGTCTCTCCAAGATAGAAGCGGGCAAGTCGAGTAAATGAGCGATGAGCGCTTCAAAGAAGATTAGTGCACGATCGTTGAAAAACCAAGTCCATCATCTCTGGAAAACTTAAACTATGGCAGTACACTTTTCACGGGGTTTTATCGGTCCTAGAAATTTCTCTCTTTCTTTCTCTTTCTCTCTCTCTCTCTCTCTCTCTCTCTCTGTCTCTTTCCTCATCTTTTTCTCTTCGAGGTAGAATCGCGGAGAAATTGAAACCGACTAGACTCGCGAAACTTGAACGATACGTCAAAAGTTCCGATCCTATGCACCGCACAGAACATTGTCCATACGCTCTTCAGACCCGGTTATTTTCCCCGCCGTCACGGCTCTTTCATACGTCCATAGCGTCTCCCACGTAGCCTTCGTCGGGACTTTCCGGGTGATTCGGTGGTTGCAACTCTTCCGCGCGCGCGGCGGCCGCAGCCGCGGCCTCGCGCGCAGTTTTGCCAAGTAGGGATCTCGGAGACAACGGTGTGGTCTCGCCTCTGTAAGCTGCTGGCGGTGACGGTATAAAAGGTACCTCCGGGAAGACGGCGACCGGTGAGACCGGCGACACCGGCAGTTGCTGTTGAATCGGTTGCTCCACCGGTTGGATCGTTTGTTGTTGTTGCGGTGGTTGCTGTTGATGCTGCTGTTGATGCTGCTGTTGATGCTGCTGTTGATGCTGCTGCTGCTGCTGCTGCTGCTGAAGCTGATGCTGATGTTGATGCATCGGGTACGGGTAGCCCTCGATGGTGTACCTGGCGTCGGTCCTCGGCAGCACGGGATCATATCCTGGTGACCTCGCCAGAAACTCCGCTTCCCGGGAATACCTGGCCGGAGGCGCAGCCGCTGAGCCCTCTGACATTCTTTGCCGGAGCCTCGGCAAGGTGCTGGCAGTGCTGAAGGAAATCTTGGGCAAGCCAAAGTTCAAGGGGTAGCCGTCCTGGTCGAGGTAGCTCACCTGCGGCAGGACCGTCGGGGGTCTCAGGTCGGGCTGCAACGGATAGCCCGAGTCGTATTCCAGAATCTGCCGGTCGCCGGCACCAGCGCGCTGATGATGCCGTCCGTAGAGCTGACCGTAGCCCACCTCGGTGCTCTCAGGCACTTCATTGATCAGATCCGGCTCAGTCAGATACTTGGCGACCGGACTGGCTACATAGGCGTCTCTGTCTAGATTATTCCTGGAGAGTTCGCGGCGCTCGAGGGTGGCTGCTCGATTCATCTCGCGCTCGGTGTAGGAGACCATCTGCTGATGCTCTAGGCCGATCAGACTGCCATTGCCCTTGCGGCAGGAAACTCCGCTAGTAGTGTCCTTGGTGATCGGCAACACTGACTTGCTCTGCGTCACCAGAGCCTTGGAGTTTCGCTTGCGATCGCGACGGCGCTTCCTCGCACAATATATCACGCTGCCCACGAGGCAACCGAGGGCGAACAGAGTGCCTACTAACGCGCCGGCTGCTATCGCAGCGACATAACCGGATCCGGGATTGTCAAAGGGCGGCTCCGCGGTAGGCTTCTCGCGGAAGAGCACCCGGAGGGAGAGATTCGCCTCCGCGGAACCTGCGCTATTCTCCGCGATGCAGCTGTAGGTACCCTCGTTGAACGACTCGACCGAGTAAAGATATAACATGCTGCTCATATTGGTCCCGCCTCGTTCTCGATAGACGCATCTGCAACAGATATGAGGAAATGCGGGGATTAAATAGGAACGTACTTACGTGTATGTACGTGCACGGCTTTCTTGCCGAGAGACGAATCGAGCTGCCGACGAACCGCGCTCGCTCACCTCGGAAAAGCGGAAACGCCGTTCGCCATGGAGTCGTTCTCGTGCTGCAGCTCGCACGGTTCTCCGTTGAACCACCAGGTCACCTTGGCGGTTGGTATCGCGTGTACGTCGCAGCGTAAAGTAACGTTTCCACCCTCGTAGATCTCCAGATGATCTTGAAGATTGATGTGCGGTAGGCAAGCCAGCTCGTTGATCTTGAGTGTCTTGATCTGTCGGCTGCGCAGCCTTGCCGGCGAGTCGCAGACGGGCTCGGATTCCTGCGGAGCCGCCGGTGCCGACTCCTTCAACCAAGCTTGCATAATTCTGAGCCGGCAATCGCATTGCCAAGGATTGTTGTGCAGGGTCAGTCCCCGGAGATTGCCCCCCAAGGGCAGAGTGTGATCAGGCACGTGAGCGAGTCTATTGCCATCTAGCCGGAGCCATTCCAATGATTGCAGGCCTTCGAAAGCGTCCTGCTCGACGACCTCCACCATGCAGCTGCTAATCTCCAGATTGGTCAGTTGCATGAGCCGGCGGAAGGCGCCTTGGCGAATTTCCCTGATTGGGTTACCGTTCAGTATGAGCCTCATCAGGCTCGGATAGGACGCGAACGTGTCCGTGGGCACTTCCTCGATCAGATTCTCGGATAGATCCAGCTCCACCAGACCGACCAGTCCGACGAACGCCTCCGCGGCGATCCGACTGATGTGAGACCTGCCGAGATAGAGTCGCTGGAGATTGATCAGGCCGAGGGCGTGGAAGCACTCCGGTGGCAGGCTGACCAGATGATTGTCCGATAGGTCGAGCACCTGCGTTTCCTCCCGGGCGCCCTGCGGTAGCCCCTTGAGACCGCGGTTTGCGCACTCCACCCACTCCTTGCCACCTTTCCATTTACACGCGCACATGCTCGGACAGCCCTCCGCTGCGCCCGCCGCCCACGACAGCAGTAGCATTGTGCCGAGGACGGCGGCTCTCCGTCGCCAGGCCGGCGCGATCGAGCACATGGTGCTCTCTCATCGGCCGATAAAGCCCCTTTTTCCTCTTCGTCCTCGTCGTTCGCCTTTAAGGGAGAATGGGATAGGAGCGAGAGAGCGAGAGAAGGGGGAGCGCGATCGTATTCCCGCCGTTCCTATCGCATTTTTCGCTGACCCACCACCACCACCACCACCACCACCACCACCACCACCACCACCACCACCACCACCACCACCACCACCACCACCACCACCACCACCACCACCACCACCACCACCACCACCACCACCACCACCACCACCACCACCACCACCACCACCACCACCACCACCACCACCACCACCACCACGGTGCTGACCCCTCAGAGTTCCTGAAGGGAGACGGCGGTACTTCGATCGAGTCGACGCGTCGAAGGTGAGTGTGAGACTGCCGGCGAGGAGGAGGTCATCGGCTCGCCTAACTGCGAGAGGCGGATCTCTGCAACAACAAAGCAAATTATTGATGAGTCTCGATGCACTGCGGATTAGAATGTGCTGAACAATTAATGCCGGTCGAGCTCAAATTCAGAATAATTTGCGAGCTAACCGACGCCGGGGTTGGCTTTAATAATTCGACTCAAGCTCGAGAATTAACGCGCAACTAACCAACGGAGAACCGACCATTTTAATCCTTCATTAGGTGGACGGCTATAATTTGGGAGTATAATTTGAAGGCACTAATAAAAAATACATCGTTTTTTATAATATACTTAGTCTATTGTTTATATTGTTATATTGTTTATATTGTTATATTGTTATATTGTTTATATTGGTTATATTGTTTATATTGTTTATATTGTATTTTCGAAAAAAAATATATATATTCTGCGAAAGTAAGGTAAAAGACGCCAGGGTTAAGGTAACACGTCGACGTACTAATTGCGGCGAGTTTCGAGCATTATTTTCAAGAGTGGAGGCAGCCATTTCGCAGGCTTACATTTTTTATCGGCTTCGCCACACCGATGACGACAATCGATTATGGGATTTCGCTCCGAGAGGTTCCCCCGCCGACGAACAAAAGAGCTATTAAAGTCCCCAGCTGGATCAGAACTTCCCTCGTCTAGAGTCCCATAGAAAAACAGCCAGATTCTTTGCGGGGAAACTGCCGAAACCCCGGCGACATGGTCTCCGAGGGTTCCCATCGTCGTGTAGCGAAGAGGGGTTGGCGCACGTTGAAAGCAGATAATAAATTCCATGAAGAGGGTGTGTATCTCGAGAGGAGGCGAGGATGTCGTGAGAGGAGAAACACTCCCGATATCAGGATATCGGAATATCGAGCGCACACACTTCGGATGCAAACCTTCTTTCTCTTCGTGGCTTTATTCCGAGACGCCTCCGTTGAACGAGACTCTTTCCTCCTACGCAGGGGAAGGCAGGGGGTAGAGGCCCCTGAAGGATATTGCCGACCCCGGGCGTTTCGAATCCAATATCAACTGGCCGCATGAGTTGCATTTTTTTTTCTCGCGCGCTCTTTAAAGTCGCACCCTACTGAAGGCAGCGGCGTTCCGTTCGGTGGAAAACGCAAACGACGCAAGATACAATCTTGACACACCACCCCTTCTCTCCTCCTCTTCTTTCACTCCATTTCTCTCTCTCTCTCTCTTTCTCTCTCTCTCTCTCTCTCTCTCTCTCTCTCTCTCTCTCTCTCTCTCTCTCTCTCTCTCTCTCTCTCTCGACAGCGATTCACGGAATATCACGTATTACGTCCAACACATGTTGGACGTCACAGCGCATGTATTTCTAAACTTGCCGGCAGTTAATTTTACCTTGAGTTTAGTTTTAATTGGATTACGCGTAATCGGATGGGAAATTTCGCAAGAACTAGAATGTACGGCACCATAATCGCTGCGAATGTTGCTGCACCGAGTCTGGAATCGCTCCGGGAATCTGACCGTAAAGCGCTCGACTTATTTATAAATCGTAATTATGATCGTTTCAACGAGTCACGTTCTTTTCAATTTGCGCGCACGCAAATCACGCCGTCGAGCCAACTCTTTCTCTCTCCCTGTCTCTCGGCTCGCTGTGTTCGCGCTCGATGCACCGTGTAAACGTGAATTCGCGTAAATGAGAATCCGGTAAAGCAAGAATCGCGAGCAGCACAGAGAAACGCGAGAAGACGCGAAAGAAAGAAAAAGAGGCAGAAAACACGGCGACGTGGAAGCTTCGTGCTTTCGTTTCTACCGTTTTTTCGCGCTCGCCTCACGGAATCGCGAGCTCGTTTAGTCGGCAACGTTTTCATCGGGATGCGAGCTGTCGAGGCCACGGAGTTGAGAATATCCGAATAGCCGCCGGTGAACTATGCGGCGTTCACCCGGCTCGCGCGAAGAAGTCCTTAAAGGCGTGGTTTAAAATTGCGACGGCGTCTCGCGGCCGGCAGTAAATATCGAATACGAAATGGTGGAGAATGCGCTCCCTTTTCCACCGCACGAAATGGAAATGAGGGCTGAAAATGAAAAAGCCGAGTGCCGGACGGGGCACGCGCGTTTTAACCTTTCAACCGGCGGCATACCTTCGGATGAAAAAATTTAATATTTTATTTCAATCTGGTCCAGTCGCGTCTCTCCCTCTTCGCGTCGCATCGCATTCGACTAGAAAGAGAGGGGGGAAGAAAAGGGGAGAGGAGGTTATTTTCTAGAAATGATAAGCCTTTCAAGGAGATCCTAAAGTAAAGAACGGGTTAAGCGACATGTTCGATCATATTAAGATCGTAACGATAATGTCGCGATTAAATTTAGCCGTTGTGCCGATTCGAGCACCATTTCGTTAATTGTTCCCATCGTCCTCGTGGGAAGAAATGCTCCCAGCAGCGAAATGGGAAGAAATGCTTTCCGGTGGCGAAATGGAAACGAGGCAAGGGAAAAAGGGGAGGGAGAATAAAAGCTAAACGGCGCCGAGAGCGTCCATCCGAACGGCGAATCGTCACTTTAAGTGTTATGACCGTTATCAGTGAAGGAATAATACATTTGCGACCATCGGAATGCACGCTTCGAGTTAAAAAAAATAGCGGAAAAGAGAGAGGAGTAAAAAAAGACCATTGGAATTTCAAGACGAGCTCCTCTCAGTTCTCTTCATTTTTTATGGAGATATTAGAGCCAAATGGGAATCTCTCCACATTTAATTTCTGTAGTTTTCTTTTTGCTGGTTTGGCCCAGTTAACGTTGCCCATAGCATACATTTGTTCTGACAGATACGTCTTAGAAAGTAATCAACGATTTGCATCACGCATCCGATACTTCCTCTCTTCGTTGGGACATTTCGAACAATTTCCATTAGGAATATTCTCAGTCGAGATATATTACCGTCCAAAAGTTTCGGAGCAGTCATATTTTTGTGTGAAATAAAAGATCGTTTGTAAATGTTATGAAAACAATCAGTTATAATAAATGTTTATTGACATTGACGACTATTTTATGTCAGAACACCAACTCTTTGTGCCTATGTCTAATAAATTCTTGTTATTATCTACTTGCGGTTGAACACTTACTTTGTTATAGTCGCGTTCAAATCACAGAAATATGATGTTTACCCTCAATTCGGATATCTAACCATTGTAATTAAATAGGATCTTAATAGTATTCAAGCATTCATAAACGCAAGTTATAATTTCTGAGTGCAGTGCGCGTTAAAGTTATCAGTCGGTTGATTTAACTGAATTTTTTTATTTAATATAATATAATTATAAGCACAGAAAGTTGTTCTAACCTAAAGTAGTCGCCAATGTCAATAAACATTCATTATAACCGGTTGCTTTCATAATATTTACAAACGATCTTTTATTTCACACAAAAATATGACTGCTTCCAAACTTCTGGATGGAAGTGTATTGTCATCGGATGACATTACGAGAATCGCGATCCATATACTTTGATTACGTTGTTGTCGTAACTTTAGTGTCAGGACATCGATTTAGTGTTTTATTGCGTTCTACTACGTTGAAAACGGTGACCGAAATATTTGTAACCAATTGTGCATTTTGCTCTGTTAATTTTAAACTCGGCTCCTCGCCGCAGGACTCTTTGAGGATAATGTCAGAAGCGAGAAAATACATGTGTCACATCCTAAAGTGTCCTCTCAGCACTCGCAAAGTACCAAACGTACTCGCAGGTCTGCGGATCGGGTTAAGGTTACTAGAAAGGTCCTTTTATACCGTCACATACGTTTGGCGATCCTTTGTTTAGGTCAGAAAATGTTATCCTTTATCTAGGACAGAACCATGTTGAAAAGGATTTCATGACTCGAGATTGAAGGGACCGATAAATTAATGGAACGAAATGTATTTAGAATCCTCACGCGTATTCGCAAGTCTTTTTTATTTAGAATTTCTTCTTTATATTAAGAATTTTAGGATTACTAGATTTGAAGGATACATCTAGCTAACACTAATCCTAAAAACTGGCGGATCCTAAAAGTCTCAAAATCCCTAAAGATCTCAAAATCTCTAGCGATCGTCTAACATATATTAATAGCTGGATCTGTCGACTTTATTGTTCTTTAAAGTTGATTTACTTTAATCTTACAAATCGTCGCTTTGCAAAATAGCCCGTTTAAACCGTGGGAGCTATAGTTTAATAAATAAATATTTCTAAAGTACGTGTTATATATCTGTAGACACAATTCTTGCATAATTCTTGCAATAAATATATATAAAAGTATATAAAATGACGCAATCGATGTAGCAGATTTGTAAAATAGTCCTTTCCTTTTGCGCTCTAACAATCAATAAATTACTATAAAATTAACGTGACATGTAATGTATCTTTTTAATCTCTTTTTGTCGTGCTTCTATCATGTTAATTTTACAATTATTTATTGATTATTAGGGCAAAAAAAAGTGCTCAGACTATTTTGCAAATCTGTTCAATCAATTGTCGTTTTGTGAAAATATCATTTTACTTCACTGTATTCTCTAAAAACGTTGAGCGTACATTTTCTCGTTTCTGATATCATAAATCAAAATAGCCAGGGAGGAAAATAACGAGGAAACAGCGAGTTTTGATATATGCATGGTTTGGTTTTAATATCTAAAAACTGATAATAACATATACTTGCGCACGGCTCTTATCGGCTTCTCTACGTTTCAAATTTTTGTTGACCTCTGTTTCGTTGATGCGCGCGACAGAATGGAAGCATCTGTCGTGCGTCATAGTTTGTTGTCGTTTAAAATATTCTCTCTTCATGCACAAACTTAAATTTCAAGCTCGAATTGGTCTCGCCGAACCCGATTATTAATTTTGAAATGTCACACACGTCATAGCAAATCAGGACTAATTAAAACATAAATAATTATGTAGTATCGAATTTTACGTTAACTATCGGTCACGCGATGTGACATTTACGACTGACGAACAATAGTCGAGCGACTGTCGATTATGGCAGCGGCATCTCGTTGTCAGGAAAACATCACATCGCGTGTCAAATGCGACAGGATAATTTAATTAA